ATGAGGAGGGAGGGAGCTGTCGCTGGGTGGGTGGCAGCAGCAGCATTGGGGCAGCACCAAGATGCTCGTATTCAGCGCCTGCTTTTACGGGAGGTCAAGCGTGGGCTCCCCCCATGCCCGCTGGCACCAAGCACCAACCACAGCAGCTGCTTGCCAGCTCCCGGCCCTGCCCACGCATAAATTCGGACGTTTGAACCCAAAACCGCTGCCCGTCCTCCCCCCTCCCAAACCAACGAGGTGTTGGGTTTGGGTTTGTTTTTTTTTTTTTCCCTCAGATGTCTCCATCTAAATTTAAATCTCAGACATCATATTACCTCGTTATTTTTAGAGCTGCGATTACTCAGTGCAGTTTACAGCCTTGCCTTTCCCCACTCTCCGTCATTACTCTGTTTATCCCACCCCACATTTGCCTTTCGAGAAACAACGGGTAAGCTCAGGAAAGCGGCAGGTTTAGCCTTAAAGAGGGGCAGATCCAAGAGCCCTCGCAGCGCCTTTCCCCCGAGCACTCACGTACCCAGCTCGTGTGGGAACTCCTCACAGAGGATGGCCACGGAGGTGCTGATCCCTTGGAAGACAGAGACGGTGAAGGAGGCCCCGATGGCCAACCCGTCGATGAAATTGTGGAGGCCGTCGCTGAGGGTGATCATCCACGCCAGCGTGCCGATGTCGGAGTACCGCACCTCCTTCAGCCAGTAACACGCGCTCTGGGAGGCCTGCAGGTCCTGCCACGGCACCCCAACGGCGGGGGCTCAGCACCCAGCCTCTCAAGGGGGTGGTCACCGCTCCCTCCCACCCACCAGAGGAACCCACCCCTCCACTCATTAAATCCACACAAGGCTTGACGAGAGCCATTTGCTTTCCACCACCCATGGAGGATTTTGTCAGGGAGGTGCCATGAGCTTCAAAACTGCTCTTTTTTCATTGAGGGGCAGGTTTTTTTTCCACGAACCCACCTGCAACCCCGCAGGAAGAGGCACTAACCTGGACAGAGAGGGAGCCCACCACAACCTTCTCATCCCCGGAGGGGCTCTTGCACTCCAGCTCGCTGGTTATGTGTGGGATCATGTGGTCCAGGTCCCCGTTCTGCAGCTTCTCGATGACCCCTTCCTCCTGGTCCTTCTTGGACGGCAGAGCCTCGGGGCCGTAGTGGCTGTGCCCGTGGTGATGCTGCGGGACCGCGGGGGGATTCACGGGTGTCAGCCATTTCCGCCATTTCCCACCCGAGCAGCGCTCCGAGCAGAGCCCCTGCTCAGCCTCACCTGGTCCTTCTGCTTCAGGAGCATCTTCAGGACCTTCTCCGTGAAGAAGAAGAGGTAGAAGCCCCCGAACACCACGGCGGATTTGGAAACGTAATAAGCTTCTTGAGGGTTGAATCCAAACGCCTGCAGACAGAAGGGGACAAGTGTCAGGACGGAGGAGCAGTCTCTGGCAGCATCCTTCATCTGCCTTTGCCCCGGCACCTCTGGGGCCTTTCTGGCCTCTCTCAAAGCAGCAGCTGCTTTGGGGGCAAGCTCAGAAAATGCCTTTGTGTGCCTTAGATCTCCCTCACTCCCCCGGCCAAGCCGGCTGTGCCCAATCCGCCACCTTCACCGGGGCAGGGACGCTAAAAGCGGGTTTAGGAAGCCTGCACCACCTCAGCACAAAGGCGACCTGCCCGCAGGGATAGAACGGGCAATAAAATAGCGCTTCTCTGCTTGAAGCAGACCGGAGATGTCCCTGGAGCGATTCCCTTCCAAAGAGGGGCGAAACGCCAGCTCCAACTGCGGTCCCGAGGGGCTTCCAGCCTCCGTACCTTGCTCTTGGCTCCCCTCCGACGCCGCCTTCCCCTTCTCCAGCCAGCGAGCGCCCAGAGAGAGAAACAGCCCCCGAGAGAGAGAAAAGGACAGACCCAGCGGTCCTCACCCTACCTCGGGAATGAGCTGGAAGAGGGCGTTGGAGTAGAGAGTTCCAATCGCCAGAGCTATGAAGTAGAGGAGCAGCCGCTTGTAAAAGGTCTTCTTCATGAAGGGCACCACGCTGGCTCCCACCAGCGAGCAGAGGGAGATGACGGTCACGCAGAGGAAACCGTAACCCCAGACTGCGGCGTGCGTGCCAAACCCACCCCGGGGAATCGGACGAGGGGAGGTTGTCGGAGGGAAAGGAGATCAACGTGGGGAAGGAGAGGAAGGGGAAGGAATCCACGCCAAAAAGGAAAGAGAGAAGAGGGAGGGAGAGAGAAGAGGACATTCATTAGTGATTGCTTGTTCATCTGGCATTGGTTCAAGAGGGGCGAACCTGGCGCTGAGTGGCTCTGGAAATGGCTCTTTGGGAAGGGCCGGAGGGACACCCCGCCGCGGAGCCCGCACTAAAGAACCAGGAGCTCCCTCAGAGCAAGCAGCTCTCTCTGAGCACCGGGATGAAGCTGATTTTTGGCAGCCAGGCTGTTTCAGAGCCAGCAACCCAGCTTTGCTCCCCAAGCCCCCCCCATTCCAGGGCGGCTGTTCCAGGGCCACAAAGCGCCGAGGTGCCCTGAGCATCTCGTACGCTCCATCCTCATCCTGCAGCCCAGAGATGCCAGCTGGGACAGGGATGCTCCGACTGATGGCGAGGGTGGAGCGTACGTAAGTCATTTTAATTCCTGGCAGATCAGGAAATACAGGTGTTTGGTTTTTATATTCGGCAAATAAAAGTTGCAGTTTTGGAGTTGAAAAGGAGCCTTGAAAAAAAAAAAAAAAAAAACCAACCCAACAAAACATCTCCCCGCCAACACGGATGAAGTGTTTGCTGCCCAAGAGCAAAGCAGGCAACGCCAGGGGGCAAAACCCAGTGGCAAAGGGTGCTCTGCTCAGAGGGAAGGTTGCACCTTAAATGCAGAGTTTTAAGGCTGGATGTGGAGGAACTCGGATCCAGCTCGCCTCCTCCCCAGGAGATGGGGGAAGGACTCCGTGAAGCTGCCTTGGACCTGAGGGCCGAGGAAGCACACGTGTTTCGAAGGTGTCCAATCTGAGAGCACGTGGGTGTATTTATTCAACTCCGGAACTGTGCAATTACAACACAATTAATTTGCAATGTATCTGTCGGTCCCATCAGAGCACCAGGAAACCTCACGTAAGCCTAAACCCTTGTGGAAACGTCGGTCTTGTAAATCAGAGTGGGGAAAAAAAAATAAGGCAATTAAAAGATTCGTAAACGTCGGCTGACTCGAGAGGAAGCTGGTGCCTCTCCAGGCTGTTCTCTGTGCTTTTACACCGATATTTCCTCCGCCTTGCAGGTCTTCCCACCCGGCTCACGCCACGAGCGCTGCCGCATCTCAGTGGCCTCAGAGCCGGGCAGCTCTGCACAAAGCAGGGCTGAGCACAGCCCTCCAGAGGATAAACTCCCCTGTGAAGCAGACACAACCCATGGGGAGGGAGCAAACAGCTTCTCCCAGCACCTTCCCAGACCTCCCAAGGACCGGCAGGGCTGGTGGACACATCCTTGAGAAGGTTTCCTGGTGCTCGGAGGGGTGAGAAAAGCCCTGCGGAGCCCCTGAGACAAGCCCTCAGCCTCGGGTGATGGAGGGATCGGTTCGATTCAGCAGGGTGGAGGCAGAGAGGGCGCCCGGAGAGCTGCCCTCGGAGACGGGAGAGAGGCAGGGACTTTCTACCGCACCTCTGGGATGAGCTGGAAGAGCGCGTTAGAGAGCAGCGTGCCGATGGAGAGCGCGATGAAAAACGTGAGGACCCGGCTGAAAAAGGCCTTCTCGGTACACGGTACGATGAAGACTCCGAGCAGGGAGGCCACGTTAATCATCGACACACTGAGAAAACCAAAGCCCCACACTGCGGAATGAGAAGAAACGAGGGCCAGACATTACCGAGGCTCTCGGCGTGGGGAGAGGGGTTGGGACCCCGAGATCCCAGATCCGGGCAGGAGGAAAAGGCTCGCTCCGGGTCTACGCCCCCACGCCGGGGCCGGCCTCGCCGCACCAGAGCGTCTCTCCTTTTGCTCCGGACGCTTCAACTGCGACACAAACCGTCATTTTTGTTGTAGGGCAGGTGGAAATGAAGCCACCAGGTTACTTGGAAGAGGCTTTCCCGAGCCAGCCCCAGCCTCACGGCACGGGAGAAGCCAGTGCTGTGCTCAGGGCAGCTGATCCAAGACCTTGGGCATTGTCAAGACCTGGATGCATGGAAGCTCATTTAGCATCCACTGGTGGCTGGAGGCAAGCGGGTCCCTAAATGTGCCAAGCCACCCCCTCCCACCCACGGGGACTTGCAGCAAGGTCCCCACAGGCAGAGCTCTGACCCATGGCGTGGGCGATAGGGGGCAAAACCACGCTGCGAGCCCACAGCACTGAGAAAAAGCCATCAGGCCTCCCAGCTGCTGTAGGCAAGCTGCCTCCTCTTGTCTCTGCCAGACTCTGCCTGTGCCCCAGAGCCGGGAACGGGAACCGGCTATCCTGCAGGTCCCGGGGTGCCTCATATCCCCGAGCTCCATGCCCAGGGCCAGGCAATGCTTGTGCCCCCCCGTTCCCCGCTTACCTTCGGCCGAGCTGGGTCTGCTCTCCTCTGTCTGCTCATTTTCCTCGTTTTCCAGCTTCTCAGATGCGCATGCCCCGGATTCCAGCTGCTGCAGGATGGTGGGGCAAAACTCCTTGAACTCGCTGTGCCCCACGGCAGAGCCCTCGCTCAGGTTGTGGATGGCAAAAAGCTCGACGGAGCTGAAGCACTGGGGAAGGGGAGAGACAGGCACATGCCTTGAGACTCCTGCGGCTCTGCGAAGAGGTTTTGGGGGTCTACAGAGCCCCTGCCTTACCCGGGAGAGGTTCACCCGCTGCTGTGGCGGCTGGGAGACGTTGACGT